GCTTTGAATGCAGGTTCAGGGAAATCGTTTTCCATGATGGGAAATGGAGATCAGCCCGGTTTAATCCCCCGACTGTGCTGCTCTCTGTTTGAGAGGGTCCACAAGGAGGAGAACGAGACCCAGACTTTTAAGGTGGAAGTGTCCTACATGGAGATCTACAACGAGAAGGTCAGAGACCTACTGGATCCCAAAGGGTGAGTGTGTTCCCTGTGAGGTGAATGATCGCTATGTTTTGGCCAGCTCTTGATCCCTGATCTGGCACCGATACAGTCAGTTACCAGAACTGTGATGTCAATTCACTGGAGTTTACAGCACAGCACTGTCCCTCTGTTCCTATATTGGAGTCACTCTCATGTCTGTTAGCCTTAAAGGGGGGACGCTGACAGAATAATGCGTGTAGGAAGCTGTCCTGGTCATTTCCTGCTGAACAGCAGCTAGCATGGTCCTCTGACACTGCTGCATTCTTTGCCTCTGCGGTCTGATGCGGATTGGCAGACAGACTGCAAGGAACAGTTAGCTCTAAATGGTCCTGCTTTGGGAACATCTGTTCATGACGCTTGGGACATAAAAGATGTCAGAGCAACCCTGCGGGCTACAAGCCAAGCAGGAATAACAGTGCACTCTTCTGTCTGTTGTAAATGTCTGAATATGCAGCCAAATTCAGTTTTAAAACCACTTCCTCCTGCTCAGATAGTGGTTCTTGATTCTGTTTGGACCAACAGACGTTCCGTGGAGTTGGGACTAATGTCTCATATGAGTTGGAAGCTAGTTGATTGGCTTATTGCTTTGCATAACATATGCATAGTTGATTTAGTTTCAGATTTATGTGAGTGTCTCAAAGTTGCAGAGGAGCAGTTTCCTATTTAGTGGAGCATCTGTCTTAAATCCCATTTACACTACCCTTTTGTAACCGTGCCGAGATTGGTCCGAGCATGGTATCCGAGATAGCTGTTGAGTGTAAATGGCACACACAACTGAACCGTACCGTGCCAGACACAACCCAACCACGCTAAACTGGTAGTAGTACATCAGTAGGGCTTGGAGTGGTTCAGTTCTGGCTCGGTTCTCAGATAAAGAAAAGAGCGCATGAGCAGACCGCCTCATCTCCTTACAGTCAGCATCCGTATCCTTGAAATTTAAGAAATTCATTAAAATACAAGCTTCCCTACAGTGCTACACAATTTCCAGTGACGATTTTGCTTAGCCGTGTGATGAACCTCAACGTCTGTCGTTCTTTCCTGCATCTGTAAGCCCTGATTGGACTATTGTTTGTCGTATTCTCTTCCGAAAAGCCGAATCTGTCAAGTAAATTCTCAAAAGGCTGCCTTTTTCGCCTTACTCTCTCCGCAAACAACAAAATATCACAATGATATCTAAACATAACTCCCTGAATGTTACAGGCACCGCCATGTTGGTTTGCCTGTTTTTCTCTGGAGATCAGTAGTACCGTAGATCACCACTAGGAGGGGAGGAACCGTGGTAGCGTGATTCTAAATGGTCGTAAGGAACCGAGCTCGGCACGGTTAACCGATCAAAGCTCGGCACGGAACGGTTTTCAGAAGGTAGTGTAAATAGGGCTATTGCTATAAACACATTTTGTTGTAATTTGCAGGGCTGGGATGGGATTGATAATAATTTTTATCATTTGATGAATCATATGGTAGTTACCACTATTAGGGAAAATCATGGTTTACAAAGTGTCAAAACCTTTTATGGTTTAAAGTTTCTTCATTTAGAGGTCAGTGACAGGGAGCTAGATTTTCTATGGAGAGCAATATTGTCCTTAGACTTCCCCACCTGTTGAGGCTCACTGCCAGTCAGCAGGCTGAAAGAACACTACCACAAATTTCCCCTGTTTGTGAGTGACCATGTTTTGCTGTTAGTAAATCTATTCTTTGTATATCTGTAAAGACATTACCAAAGCTGCAGTTTTTGTATTTAATTGCTGTGGTTCTGTTTTACATAATCAAGTTACCCTATTAATTAATATTAAATTATTAAGATCTTGTATTCAAACTTTTTTTTTTGTATATAGTGAGGTTGTTGCAAGGAAATGTTGTATGATCTGTAACTTTGATGGAAAAAAACAAAATTCAAGCTCTGTTACTTCACATACTAATGGAATAGGAAATTGTTATTTATTTATTTTATTTTATGTTTTTTGAAAAAAAAAAAATCATTACTATTATATATAACTACTGTGCGTTTTAATTAAAAAAAAAACACATTAAGAGAGAGAACAGGACTAAACATGTTGACAGTCACTTCATAAAATCATTGTGAACTAAAAGACCATAAAGCCATAAAGCACTTGTTTGAAGAAAGTGGAAGACCTGTGATTCAGGGTTGGTTAAATGACAGGTTTACCCCAGAAAGATGGTGTAAGATTCCAGCAATAAAAACTGAGAAACTTTGGTCTTATATACTAAGGGAAGAAGAGGAGAATGACAAAGAATATAGATCGGATAATCAGCTGAGAATGTGGAGCAGCACATGCAGAAGAAAAGCAGGGACACATTTGGGAATCAGCTAAAACATAAGGAAATACTCAGTCAAATAAAAAACACAAACACTGACCTAAGGAAATAAACTAGAACACAAGGGGAAGTAAAAACGCCCATAACTAAGGAGCCAGACCTAAAAGAATGAACTAAACATTGCACTACCTAACAGAACACAATAAACAACAGAGAAAAACAGAGCGAAACACAAAAGAAAACCTAAACCAACCCCCTATAAATATACCAAGACCAGAAGTATTAATATCGACTTTATGTATCTGGTCCTAGTATTAGCCGAGCCCAAGAGAAAAGCCTCACTGTATCATAGTACAGTTGTACTTTCACAGATTTTGAAGCTTTCCAAAAAAAAATTTACTATGTTTGTTATTGAGTAATTAGTTGTTTTTTTTAAGTTAATAGCCAAAGTAATCATAGCCTTACTAGATAAATGTAGCTGGTTGCTTAGAAAAGTTAAGCCGATTCAAAGTGAGATGGCGGCTGGTTGTTCATTTCATCAACAGACACTTTAACTCTTGTCTCATATCAATTGTTTGTAAACGGCATTAAACTGCTAAAAACTAGATGATAATGGAGCGCCTGTCATAACTCAGCTATATATCCCTCTTATTTACTATAGTCAGACAGCTGACTTTGTCTTTACATAAAAGTGAAAGTTTAGAAGGGGTCCAGTTTTCCCATATTGTACACCACTTTGCTGTTCATACTTATTCTGTCTATTAAGTTGTTGAAACAGTAGAGATGAAAAATCTCATGCTGTTGTTTTAAACTATAAATGCCAATTATAAACAATATGTATTTGGGGTTATATAACAAAAACAAAGGTAGATATACGGTAAAAGTTTACTTTATGTTTAAAGAGGAGGATTTTTAACCATGTAAAGCCAAAATCCTCAAGACAAAAATATAATTTTCTAACTAAACTCATGAAGAAAATAGATATTATGCTATGTTACTGAAAAAGATTCTGAATCTTCAGTAAAAGCACAAAAACATTTCAGCTTGAGTAATCCCTCAAATGCCATACTGTTACCACAAACACTTATTAGCACCGCCGCAGTTTTTACAAACAGCCCCCCACCACCTCACCTCAAAATTACACCCTTGCCTACTTGTGGTGTTGGCTTTTGTTGATTTGACTGAAATCGGCTTCAAACTACAGTGCCTGTATTTTGCAGAGTCCACTTCAAAGACCTCTCTGGCTGTGATATATACTTTCTGTAATAAAGACTAACTTGAACACATTGTGCAGTGTGCTGAAACTGGTGTTGAAGTTTCTGTTGTTTCCTTTTACAAAAAAACTCATGACGTACTGTAGCTATTATCTACGATTTAGATTTTTAATGCTGACTCATAGCCATGTAATCACATAATGATGTTTGACATAATGTCTCATCTTATGTATCTTACATGCAATACAATAGAGCTACAGCAATTATTATAAAACTGAGTTCAGAGCAAGAAGCTCCTATTATTTTGAAGCAACTAAATATTTTCTGCTTTCCAAACTCTTTTTAACCTTCTCTGTTTTTCCAGAAGCCGCCAGTCCCTTAAAGTTCGGGAACATAAAGTTCTTGGTCCGTATGTGGACGGTCTTTCACAGCTCGCTGTTACCAGCTTTGAGGTTTGTCTTTCACCCATCTGCAGGCATCACACAACTAGAGCTGAAACCACTTGGCTGCATTCTTCTGATTCATACTTTTGCAGAATTACTTTTTTGCAATCAAACCACTGATTTATAAGAGAATAATAACTTTGTTTAAAATCCTCCCATGTGCAAAGGCTGTAATGAGAAATATCCCTGCTGTGGCTACAGTAATGAGGTACATGAAGTTTTTATGCCAAGCCTTGGCAGGTTTTTTCTCAGTGACGTTAAAAAATCTCCACCCTGTTCCTCTGGCCTCTTTGCTGCCTGTTCTTGGTCCAGATGATTTCCTACTGCTTGTTGTGACCCACGCTTGAAAAAAAAAAATAGGGAAAAGCCCTCTAGAGCTTACAGAAGTCACATCAATACATTTCGAAATTTTAAGTGTTCTCTGAAAAAACTTTTTTTTTTTTTTTTTACATTATTCACTTTTCATCTGATTGTTTAAGGACATTGAGGTGTTGATGTCTGAGGGGAACAAGTCCCGCACAGTCGCAGCAACCAACATGAATGAGGAGAGCAGTCGATCACACGCCGTCTTCAGCATCATCGTCACACAAACTCTCTATGATCTACAGTCCGGAGTTCGTCTTGTTTTGTTTTGTTGTTGTTTTTTTACACATAGCTGACAGTTTTTTTCTGATTCATGAACAGTTTTCAAATCTGTCTGAAACAGAATTCAGGAGAAAAAGTGAGCAAGATGAGTCTGGTTGACCTGGCAGGAAGTGAGCGTGTATCAAAGACTGGAGCTGCTGGGGAGCGACTCAAAGAAGGCAGCAATATAAACAAGTATACTGTCATTTTTATCATTACTGTGTGATGTGAGTTGAGCATAATATTTGGGCGACCAAGCTGTCCAATGTATCTGATGTAGGTTTGTTCCCTTTTAGGTCTCTCACTACGTTGGGATGTGTGATTTCTGCTCTGGCCGATCAGTCTGCAGGGAAGGGGAAGGCCAAGTTTGTGCCTTACAGAGACTCTGTTCTCACCTGGCTGCTGAAGGTTTGACCCCAACAGCTGCATATTTCAGAACTAATGAGAAATAACAAAGAAAGAATTTATATATTAATCGCAAGGTTATATTATGTAATTACCCTTAATTTGATCTAATGCCAAAGTGTAAAAAAAATTAGTAACCATTTTTACATAATAATTAGAAAAGAATAGATTCATAAATACTTGAATTGCATTTATCATATAAATGCCAAAATTAATTGACGATATGTAAACAATAAATAATAAGAAATAAATCCCAAATAATGGATTTAACTTTGTGACTTTGTATTTGATAAATACATTTCATTTTTTATAGTTTACCATGAGATGACAAGAAAACATCATAATTATAATTATTGTAAAAAGACAAAATAAAAAAAAAAATAAAAAAGATAATAGTTTTATTTTTTAATTTCTCATTCATTTAACTGTTCACATTTTTATGTTTCAAAAAGATTCCATTTTAGTCACTTAATGGAAATAAACTCTTAATTCTTGGTTAATTCCATAAAAATATTGATTTATTTGTTATTTTCTTATTAAATTTTTGGACCTACATATTTATTCTACACTATTATTATTTAGATGTTGAAAATGTATTTTACGATAATTTTTAGGATTCGTATTTTGAGATGAGGCTATTTTTTAACACCACAAATATTTACGGCTATTTAGATAGTTCAAAAATAATTTAATTATTGATTATGTAAAGTATTTTGGCACTCTTGGATTTCTATAATTCTTAAACAATTATCGTATTTGTTTTTTATAGAGTTTTGGTAATGTTGTGTTTCATATATTTTAGATAATTATTATTTGGAATATTTTAATCATCTTTATTATTTATCTATTTTATTTCCTGTTTTTAGAAAATGTGTCCCTTTTTGGGCTTGCATGTTTAATATTATGTTACCTTAAACCTCAGGACAACCTTGGTGGGAACAGTAAGACAGCCATGATCGCCACAGTGAGTCCGTCTGCTGATAACTACGAGGAGACACTGTCCACGTTACGTTATGCTGACAGGGCCAAGAGAATTGTCAACCATGCCGTGGTGAATGAAGATCCCAATGCTCGGATCATCAGGGAGCTCAGGGAAGAGGTGGAGAAACTTCGAGTTCAGCTCTCACAGGCGGAGGTGAGATGTGGCCCATCACGGATTGTTGCTCTGTCCTCCAATCACCAAGAATCAAATGCTGATTGTTTTTTCTTCTCACACTGTTTTCCTTCAGTCCATGAAGGCTCCTGAGCTGAAGGAGAAACTGCAGGAATCTGAGAAGCTCATTCAGGAGATGACAGTCACCTGGGAGGAGAAGCTAAGGAAGACGGAGGAGATTGCTACTGTATGACTTCAATCTCATGATAAGACTTACGCCTGGACTGCCTCTTTTCACTTTTACACTACCGTTATCTGTGTTTACAGGAGCGTCAAAAGCAACTGGAGAGCATGGGCATCTCTTTGGAAACTTCTGGGATTAAAGTTGGAGAAGACAAATGCTTTCTGGTCAATCTTAATGCCGATCCTGCTTTGAACGAACTGCTTGTTTATTATCTGAAGGTAAATTTGCAGTGTTGCAGAGTTGCTCTCTGTGCCTTAAACACACACTTACCTAAAGACTATTTAATGGAAAATCAAGTTGCTTTTTCTCTGAGATTTCAGATCTGGTTTCTGTTTCTTAGTTCTCATTACCCATCTTTTTTATTACACATGTATATTAAAAACAAGTGTGCCATCCTGTATGTCTTTATAGCAAATATCATGAAAGCATATAATACTTTAAAACAAAGCTTGTTTACTAAATGATGTTTTGTAAATGCAAATGTCTCATAGTAAACTACCAAATCTCTAAAACTAATTGTGAAGAGGAGAACGAACAGTTTGTTCCAACCTAAAGAAAACAGCCATAATGCCTCCTTTAAAAACTAATTAAACCCTGGCTGCTTTTCTGGACATTTCTTCTATTCTCATTCTGAACGGTATTGTACGAAGGAGTAATAGGGCCAGGCTAGAGATTGTTTTTTATTATTTAAAAAATAAAGTCATAATATTATGATAATGAAATAAAAATAACGATAATGAAGTCATCATACCACAACCGTTTCAGAAAGAAAGCTTTAAGCTCCCACCAGCATATAACGGCCGACCAGCACCACCAAACAGCAACCTGAGTCCACTTTGACATATTGCCCAATTTGATGCTGGTGTGCCTCATTTGCGTATTTGTCAAGCCGTTGCAAAAGTATAACTTCACATGATGCTCGACATTCCTCATTTTAGGGAAGAATGTCCTTCTTGTCATAAAATACCACTTTATTCTGATAATATCACAACTTTATTCTCGTAATTGTATGACTTTATTTTCATAATTTTATGACTATTTTTGTTACAACACTATTCTCATAAAAAAAAAAAACAATAATCTCCTGCCTGCCTTAATACTCTGTCGTATTATTGAAATATGTTCATGATTCAAAAAATAACTGACTTTGAGTCTTCTCACTTGTTGTTCATCCCAGCTGGTAGTGATTAGGTATGGTGCATTCACTGATTTCAAACACATCCGATTTTATCATTCAGCTAAAATTAGGCCAATTCTAGTTAACAACCAATGACATCTAGGGGAATCTTGTGCCAAACTGAGTTAAAAAAACTAAGTGACGTTATTAATGACTACAATCCCATGCAGAAAGTCTGTAAAAACCACCCCACATTTGTTTAACATTTGTTAAAGAAGGCTAACCTCCCTTACTTTTGTTAACATGTACAGTTAAATGTAACTGAGACAGTTATTCAGATAGAGAACACAAGAGACTTGTGCAGTTAAAAAAGGCCTGGAACTAATAAACAGCTAGATGAACTTGTGAGGACGTAGGTATGTGAGAAAACAGTCTGCATTACAACAGCCCTTTGTCTGGCCTCTGCAGACCAGACCAGCATATCAGTGAGGAATGACTATGGCAATGTGAAATGGACTAGAACATCCTCTGTTAGCTGGAATGTTTGTGCTCCCTCTAACCGGGTGTTCTTTTTTTCCCCCTTAAACCTGTTCCTATTTCATTTTTGTCACGCTCATTAAAGAATAAGGTTACTACTCTTAAGTTTTTCATTAATTTCCTTCTGCAGTATTCCTACAAATTAGTTTTTATTCTGTTTTGATCCATATGTTCTCCACCTGTGTGTACTAGGAGCACACCCGCGTCGGGGCAGACACCTCTCAGGACATCCAGCTCTTTGGCATCGGGATCCAGCCGGAGCACTGCGTCCTGGAAATCTGCCCGGATGGTGATGTCACCTTGATGCCCAAAGGCAATGCCAGGTGAGCTGTTTTAAGAATTAACAAGGTTTGGTGTAGTTGCTATCTCTCTGCTTATCTGCCTGCGTTATGGACCACTAGACTGAAGAGTTTCACATGACATCACTGCAATGGAAGCTCATGAACTCAGCTCCTACACTTTCATATCAGACTTTTGATTCCCTCCCGTTCAAAAAGTGGCTGCCCGCGGTATTCAGTTTTCCTCCTATTTAAAGATGATGATTGCAAATGACCTTAACATGTTTGTGTTTTCTGCAGGTCCTGTGTGAATGGTACAGTCGTTGACTCCTTGGTGCACCTGTGGCATGGCGATCGTATCTTATGGGGGAACAATCACTTCTTCAGGTATGTTTCATTAGTGGAAATCCAGACCTTCCCAGTTTTGACGGTAAAAGGCAAGTCAAAGCAAGTTTATTTGTGTTTATTTGCTTAACAGGACAATAAAGGAATGGGAATGGAGAGTATTGCATCATATAATGGAGGGAAAACATTTGGAGGCTAATTTAACCAAATAAATTTTTAAGACATGATCCATTATTTAAGGAGCCGCCAGTTTCTGCACATCTCAGGTTTTAAGTCAATATAAATATAATGCCAAAGTTCTGCTTCTGGAGACATGGAGGAAACAGGTTGTTAATGATCATTCATGGTTCATAATCATGTCTGACCTGCAACTTTAAGATGCATTCAAGCTCTACACCAATTACTACTGTATACATCTTTAACAAGATTTTTAATTCTAACCTATACAACAAGAAGCCACCTGCACAGGGTTGAAAAAAAATTGATTTTA